CAAATGCTTCACTTTCTATTAAAAAAATACACACACACACACACACACACACACACACACACTACAGTGATCATAATTTCAATACATGACATAGTCAAGTTCATTTACCCTTGGCTTCTGAGGCAAATGTTAGAATAACCCAAAACAAGAAAGTTTGTAACAACTTTCTATTGGTTAGCCTATGGAAATTCAACTTTATCACTGCTCGGTACCTTGCACAATGCCTAATTCACATATTTCAAGGTAGCAGCAGAAAAAAACGTTGGTTTAGAATCCTATTCAATGTAAACGATCATCATTTTACAAGTGAGGAAACTGAATCTAACATTAAATGAATGGCATAAGAAAAACTGGCTTGGTCATTTTTAGACATTCAGCTTGAAATCTAAGGATGCTGTAATTTTTAAAGCAGAGAGGCAGAAATGTGCGGTAGTTGCTAGTGTAGGCTTCTGCTAATCTGCTTGCATTTAGAAACCCATCTCTACCATCTACTAGCCACATGACCTCAGATAAGCTCTCTACCCACTCCAAGCCTCAGTTTCCTCATCTGTAAGATGGTGATAGTAATAGTACCTACCTAAGACAGTTGTTATGAGCATAAAGTGAGATACAAATAGGTGAAGAACCGAGCATAAAGCCTGGAGATTGAAAAATGTTGGTATCTGTTATTATAAATATTGTCATTAATAAGGCAACACTTCCAAGCACTGTGGCTCACGCCTGTAATCCAGCATCTTGAGAAGCAGAGGTGGGAGGATGGCCTGAGCCCAACCTGGGCAAACTGGTGAGACCTCGTCTCTACAATAAAATTTTTAAAAAATTAGCTGAGCGTTGTGGCGCATGCCTGTAGTTCCTGCTACTTGGAAGGCTGAGGGCTGAGGCAGAATGATTTGATCCCAGCAGGTCAAGGCTGCAGTGGCTGCAAGCATGCCCCTGCACTCCAGCCTGGGCAACAGAGTAAGACTATAACTCAAATAATAATAATAAGGCAACATCAACTTGCCTTTCTTCAGTTCCCTTATTATTCTAGGCCGTACAAACAGAACTAAAACTATGGGGGCTTAGCAGTTTCTTTGGTTTAAGTTACGTACAAGTGAGATGTCTTAAATG